AACACACCAGTCAATGTAAAAATGGTTTTTTTTGAACATATGGTGCTGAAGATCTGTGTATCGTCACATGAAAGAATGAACTTGTACCCCTGCCTCACAGCATGTGCAACAGGTGAGTCTAAATGGGTCAAAAACTGAAGGTTCTGAGAGATAAAGCCTGTCACCTCCTGGGTGAGTCCTGTGGTGAGTCCACATTTCTGAGGGTTCTTAGGAAGGCCACTGTAGCTACAGTTTTCCTGCCTGGCCCACAGTCAGGACAAATCTCTGTCACCCGCCAGTCCCACAGCCGCTCAGACCCAACCAAGTAAACACAGAGACTTATATTGCTTACAAACTGTATGGCCGTGGCAGGCTTCTTGCTAACTGTTCTTATATCTTTTTTTTTTTTTTTGAGCTTTTTTTTTTTTTTTTTTTTTTGGTTTTTCGAGACAGGGTTTCTCTGTGTAGCTTTGCGCCTTTCCTGGAACTCACTTGGTAGTCCAGGCTGGCCTCGAACTCACAGAGATCCGCCTGGCTCTGCCTCCCGAGTGCTGGGATTAAAGGCGTGCGCCACCACCGCCCGGCTAACTGTTCTTATATCTTATATTAATCCATTTCTATAAATCTATACCTTGCCACGTGGCTCGTGGCTTACCGGCATCTTCACATGCTGCTAGTCATGGCGGCGGCTGGCAGTGTCTCTCCCACTCCTTCCTGTTCTCTCAATTTTCCTCTCTGTTAGTCCCGCCTATACTTCCTATCTGGCTACTGGCCAATCAGTGTTTTATTTATTGACCAAACAGCAACACATTTGACATACAGACCATCCCACAGCAGGCCACCAAACCACAGCAATCTAGAAAGAGTGATTTTCTTTGAGATAAGGTCTCCCTGTGTAGCCCTGGCTGTCTTGGAACTTGCTTTGTGGGACAGGCTGGCCTTGAACCCACAGAGATCTGCTGCTTCTGCCTCCTGGATGCTGGGGTTAAAAACGTGTGCCACCCTGCCTGGCTTAAGAATGAATAAACTGAATTTTACCAAATGTAGCAATCCATTTTGCACAGAAAGGTGAGAAGGTGCCTCACAGGCCAGGAACACACTTTCTGGCCTGCTATCCAGAATATACATCAAACTCCTACAACATTAAAAAAAAAAAAAAAAAAAAAAAAGACAAGCTGCCCAGTCCAAAACAGATATCTTCATTTCTTCAAAGATGACACTTACGTACTGACATGGCCAGTAAGCACAGGAGAAAGAAAATTCTCAACACCATTGGCCATCAGAGAAATGCACGCCGAAATCCCAGGATGGGATTCAGGAAGTAGCAAGGTTAAGTCAAATTCAGAGATGCTGAAGTCAGGCATCAGATAAGTGGGCTACTTTGGAAAGTGGGCCCATGATTTCTCAAAATGCAAGCTTGAGGAGCATCACAGCCCAGCTCTAGGTATGACATGTCCCCACAGATCAGTCTATGAATATTTGTGGAGGCATTATTCCTAATAACCAGAAGTAGGGACAAGCCAAGTGTGGCTCACACATCCAGTGGAATATTGCTCAGCCACGCAGAGGACTGAAGAACATGTTTCCGTAAGGATTGAGTTTAAAAACATTGTGTTGTGTGGAAAGCTGGTCAGGAGAGACCAGGCATTATGTGACTCTGTTGGTGGGGCAGCAGAGGAGGACAGTGGGTTAGTGACTGCCAGGAGCTGGGGGAGTGGTGTTGTGGAGTATTTGTTTAACATGCAAAGATGTGTTGCATTTGTTTATATAAAAATGTGTTGCAATTGTTTATGTTGCAGAATATTTAACAATGTGAAGATGTCTTACATTTGTTTAACTATGTGAAGATGTGTTACATTTGTTTAACTATGTGAAGATGCGTTGCTGTTTTACCTTGCCCTCCTAAGGCACCTGACTGGTCTAATAAAAAGTTGAATGGACAATCGCGGGAGGGAGGAGTAAGTAGGGGGAGAAATTTAGGTTGGGGGAAGAAAGAAAAGAGATGCCAGGGGCCAGACAGACAGACACAGAGGAAGCAGGAAAGTAGGACACACAGAATGAAAGAAAGGTAAAAAGCCCCAGGAAAAATGCAGATGAATAGATACAGAATAAGTTAAGTTAAAAGAGCTAGTGGACAAGCCTAAGCTAAGGTGGAGCATTCGTAATTAATAATAAGTTGCCCTATCTTATTTGGGAGCTTATTTGGGTTGGTGCCCCCCAAAGAAAATAACAACCACAGAGTGGCATGGCAACGACTTAAAGATACAAGGTTTCTTTGGGAGTGATTAAAAGAGGTGAATGTTTTAGAAACTGCTGATATGTCCGTTTTAAAATGGCAAGTGTTATGTTAGGGAGTTATATCTCAGTTAAAAAGAATTTTTAAAGATCCATGTGCCCACAGTGGCTCTGCAGCAGGTATAGAGCAAGAGGAGGCATGCGTGAGCCTGGGTGCCTGTGGTGGGGAGAGACCTAGGCCAGTCCTGAGCCTGGGGTACTCTCCACCCTGAGCACTGCCAAGAAGGTTGCTGCTCGGAACTCTGGGCTGGGATCCACACCCACTAAGATGTGTCACCTGGGAAGCTGTGAGCCAGCTTGGTGTGGGTTGTTCCTGTCAGGCGTGCATGCTGGGAGACACCTGGGGCGCCAACTTCTGGGCCACCACCCGCCAGAGAGACAAGCAGCCTGCTGCCTCGCCTCCCTGTTTGCACAGCCCGGCTTCATTAGTGGGGAGGTGAGGATCTAATTTCCTTCAAACAAATGCTGGGGGTTGGTGCTTCCCTCCAACAATGAGCAGTGGCAGACGGTGAGAAATCTGCTCACACCTTCTGGGTGGGGTGGTGAGCGGCTTAGGCATGGCTGTCAGTGAGGCAAGTCCCGGGTGCCTGGCCTCGGCTTCCTCATGCCCTGACTGGAGAGGAAGAGGTGCAGCCAATCCATGCACAGTGGAGGGGGCCAGGACATGGGGTCTTCCAACAGGGCTTCCATGGGTTCCGAGTCAGGGAGCCAGGGACCTTCAGCATTTCTGGTGTGGTATAGGCAGGGATGCTCTGGCAGAGCCTAGGGGCAAGCTCGTGGCCAGAGGGAGGAAGCAGGCACTGAGGAGGTGTGGCTGAGCTGTGCTGGAGCAATGACAGCCTCTATGACTGCTACAATACAGAGCTGCCTCTGTAGGAAATAGGGCCAGGCCTGACATGGCTATGTGGGTCAGTCACAGGACATGGGTTGTACATTCCAAGACCAAAGCACATGCTTTGGGGAGATCCCTTAGGAGACTGAAACAGGGCCTTGATTAGCACACTATAGCAGGGCATCAGGCAAACTGTGACATCATTCCCCCAGGGATTGTAAGCAGTATGGAAACTCTACTACAGTCAACTGTTATCAGGTATGACATTCGGGTCCTGGAGAGGTAGCAGGAAAGACCAGCATCTTTAAGGAACCCTTCTGTGTGTGTGTTGGGAGGCAATAGCCACCCAGCTCACATGCATATAGTACCCAGGCTACCTTCTTAGTCCTCACAGCACTTTTTCATCTCAGCTCGAGGACCCAGTGCTGTGGGATGTTCTGTATGGCAAATGTGTTGCTGATTAGTCAATAAATAAAACACTGATTGGCCATTGGCTAGGCAGGAAGTGTAGGCGGGACAAGGAGGAGAATAAAGCTGGGAAGTGGAAGGCTGAGTCAGAGAGACACTGCCAGCCGCCACGATGACAAACAGCATGTGAAGATGCCTGTAAGCCACGAGCCACGTGGCAAGGTATAGATTAATAGAAATGGATTAATTTAAGCTGTAAGAACAGTTAGCAAGAAGCCTGCCACGGCCATACAGTTTGTAAGCAATATAAGTCTCTGTGTTTACTTGGTCGGGTCTGAGCAGCTGTGGGACTGGCGGGTGAGAGAGATTTGCCCTGACCGTGGGCCAGGCAGGAAAACTCTAGCTACAACCCAGAGGTGTTTTCCAGCTGGAACGATCTACCGCATACCAGATTCTACTTGAGTTAGGTGCCCTGATGCATGGGGCTGGTGTGGAGAAGTCTCTCAAACATCCATCAGCAGTTTCACTCTGTTATCTGTGGCTTCCATCAGGGCCATGGTTTCTCTGTAGCACTGATCTTCTTGGCAGATGTTCCAGGCTTGTGTGTGTGTATGTGTGTGTGTGTGTGTGTGTGTGTGTGTGTGTGTGTGTGTGTGTGGTGCACATATGTAGGGGCCAGAGATCAATGGTTGATGCCAGATGTCTTCTGAAGTGGCTCTCCATCTGATTTTTTTTTTTGAGACATTGGATCTGGAGAGCTCCAATTTGACTACGCTGGCTGGCCAGTGAGGGCCAGGGATCTACTTGTCTGTCTCCACAGTGTCAGGGCCTCCAGGAACAGAGGCTGAAGGCAGCAGGGATAAGTATGTCCTAGAGAAGGAGGAGTGAGAAAAAGAGGCTCTTTTGTGAGGGAAGGTCGGCCTGGGAGTGGCAAGTCAGACACGGCTTTAGCCCTCATGGGGGTTGAACTAGGGCAAAAGTGAGCAGCCAGACAAAGGAGTAAGTTGGTAGCGCATGCCTGTAATTCTAGTACCCAGGAGCAGAGACAGGACGATCAGAAGTTCGAGGTTATCTCCAGCTACATAGCAAGTTCAAAGCCAGCCTGGGCTACATGGGATCCTGTCTCAAAAAACAAAATAAAAATCAAAAACCTAAGTTATGATGGGTACTATTAGGACAATGCCAGGGCATTGGGGGAGAGGGACAAACTACCTGTTGTAAAGCCAGCCAGCCACAAGAACAACCAGATGCAGGCAATGGCAGGGACAGCAAAGTGCAACTTAAACCTGGGGTACTCAGACTGGGAAGCCCTAAGATGCCCAAGAATTGACTAGGATTATACAGCGCAGAGCATAAGAGGAAGGCCGGTGTCAGTTACTTCCTGTCGTCGTCGTGAAACACTGTGACCAAGGCAACTATGGAAAAGCTTATTTCGGCTTACAGTTCCAGAGAAAGTCCAAAATGGCGGGGGAGTCCTGACGGAGACCACAGAGCAGGAAGCTGAGAAATCACATGTTCAACAACCCACGGAGAGCAGAGAGGCTGAACTGGAAACGGGGAGGCTCTAGACTCCCAAGGCCTGGCAGCAGTGACACAGCATACCTCCTCCAGCATTGTGCCACCTCCTAAAGGTTCCATAATTCCCCCCCAAAAGAACCAGCCAGGGACCAAGCATTCAAATACGTCAGAGTAAGGGGGCCATTTCTCATTCCAACCATCACAGCTGGAGTGGCTCCCAAGGGCAGGAGAGTATGGAAGAGAATGATGACAGCGAAGATCCCCGGCACGATGAAAGGGATGGCCCTGCAGGTGAGCACAGGAAGTCACACACTGCCCCACCACAGCCTGAGTTACCAGCGTGTTCTCGTCTTCTTTGGGCATGCACACTGCGGGTTATCCAGGTGCCGCCTGACCTTTGTGTGTGTGCAAATGTATTACAAGGGGGGGGGTGTGTGTCACGGCACCCTGCTCTCCGCATACAGTTATGAGGACTTTGAATGGAAGGCGATAAAATCCTAGATGCAAAACTGTCAGGAAAAGGCATCGGAAGCGACGTGACAGTAGCTGTCATCAGACGTTCACAGGGAAGCCTTCTGGGAGCACTCCATTTGGTCATGGTTCCCCAGTGGGGAGGTGAGTTTTGTAGTTTTGACTTCACTTGTATTTTTTTTCCCATTCATGGTGATTTTGGTTCACTTCTTGTGTCTGGTTTTGGGGTGGTAGAAGCCTGTGGTCTTCTCTGGTAAAGCCCCCCACCTTTTCACCTTCTCCATTTTTCTATTGTGTTGTGATTTTTTTCCCTCAGTGACCCCCAAGTTGTTGTTTTTGTTGTTTCCTCTTAGGGAAAGTTGACCTTTGAGTCCAGTTGTAGTCTTATATGTCTTTTATCTCTTTGAATGGGTGTTTTGCTGACCTGAAGGCTTGCACTTTTCCATAGTCAAATCTGCCAGTCTTTTCCATTCTGGCTTCTGGGTTTTATGTCATGCTTAGAAAGACTTTTTTCACACCGAGATAAAAAAAAAAAATCACCCACGTTTTCTTCTATTACATTTTTAGATTCATTTCTGACATTTGAATTTTAATGCTTCAAGATTTTTTTTAACTATGAGAGATTTAGCTTTATTTTTCCCACGTCTCCCCTATCCCATTTGCTAAAGTACCCATCATTTCCCCCAGGTTTCTTGGCATCTTTACCAGCTACTAACCTGATGTTCATGGTCCTTTTTCCGGCTCCTCTACTTGCTCTCTCTTGTTGATGAATCTGTTCATGTTTTGAAAACTTTTGTCACGTTCATTGGGTCTTTACCATTTTTTTTTATCAAAAATTCAATTAGGATTTTGATTGGGAGAAGACTGACATCTTCTCACTGCTCGAGGCTTGACCGTCTTCTCCAACTTTGCGCCTCTTCACCAAGCTCTGAAGCTCTGCTCACGTTAGATGTTTGGCTGTCTTAGGTTTCTTCCTTTTCCGGGCATTTTTTATTCTCAGCTGCTCGTGAGAACCAGCCTCTCCCTTCTCTAGTGTCTTTAGCTGTTTAAGTTTTATGCAAACTATTGCTTTTGATAGGTTGTCTTTTTAAAAAAAAAAGATTCCTTTTATTCTATGTGTATGAGTGTTTGCCTGCTTATATGTATGTGTACCATGTGTGTACTGTGCCCATGGAGGGCAGAAGAGGGCGTTGGGTCCCTGGAACTGGAGTTACAGGCGATTGGGAGCCACCATGTGGGTGCTGGGAACCAAGCCCAGGTTCTCTGGAAGAACAGTCAGTGCTCTTAACCACTGAGCTCTCTCTCCAGCCCCACATCTGGTTTTCTTGTGGATCCTGGGGACCAAACTCAGGTCCTCATGCTTCACAGCCACTGTTTTGCAGGTTGCTGAGCCCAGGCCTGGCTTGACAGCTCTAGGAGCTATTCACCAATCATAGTTGTCTGAAGTTATGAAAATGAAAGTGTTCACAAGCCATTCCTTGCTTGTTTAGTTGGTAGCAACTTTGGTAATGGGCAGGAGAGATGCTGGGCATGCCTATATGGTGGAATGTTCTGGAAAGTATTGCTCTAGGCAGTTGCGTCCACTTTCAAACAGCACACTCCTGCCTTGGTCCTCCTTGGTCTGCTGTTGGGTTTTGCATATTTTCCTGGGTTAGGGAAGGGGAAATCTCAGTTCTTAGAATACAGTCTGTGTTGGCTGTTTCCTCCAGAGCAGGCCCCATTCTCTAGCTGAGCAAGAAAATATGCGGGAATTCCTTCTCTTCTCTCCTAGGATGAGTGTAGTGTACCCTCGAAGACATTTTCTGTTCCTTGGTCCCTTGGGTTCCTTCAGAACAATGCCACTGTCCTGTCCAGGGATGGGAGCTACTCTCCCTTCTGTTATGACACCATCATGACCTAGAAAGCCCCATGGGTCCTGCTCAGGTGAGGTACTTTCCTCAGGTGCTGGGTCAACACTTGGGCTGCTCTGAGCTAGCCGCATTTTGTAAGAAAAACCA